TCTCGTCGGTGCATTTTCCACATCAGAGCAAGAACTTTGTGCTCAACTGACACCACAACTAGCTCTTCAACAACGAAGCATCTTCGACACAGTCACGACCAGTGCCATGCAATACAAAGGTGGTGTATACATGATAGATGCTCCGGCCGGGACGGGAAAAACGTTCACAGAATGCGCAATTGCAGCCCACCTGCGCGCCCGTGCAAAACTAGTCCTGTGCGCTACATCAAGAGGTATAGCTGCCCTTATCCTACCTGGCGGTCATACGACCCACAGTACCTTTTAACTCCCTTTTGGAGACGATGCCATAGAAGGCAGCGTTTGCAACGTCCCAGCTGAGTCCGAGCGTGCTGACGTCCTAAAAAAATCCTCGTTAATTATTTGGGATAAAATTGTAGTGTCTTTAAAGTTTGCCCCAGAAGCACTCAACTCCACTCTGCACGACCTATGTCGAAATGACTTGCCCTTCGGAGGGAAAATCATTCTTTTCGGCGGGGATTGGCGTCGAGTTGCTCCCGTTCTACCGTTTGGAACTGAGAGAGAAATCATAGAATAGGATTTCCTGTCGCCAGGCTTGTGGTCACATGTTCATCGCTTCCGCCTTACCAAGTGCATGAGAGACAAAGATCACATCCACTGTCTTGGCTGTTGGAGAGGGTAAAATTGCACTAGTTCTTTTAGCCGATGGTACCGCTGCTATTCCATTGCCACACGCAGTCAAAAACGACGATGGTTCCCAAACTACATGTTAAATGGCCGGAGCAACGGAATTCGAAGACCTCATTCAATAAGTCTTTCCCGACCTCTTAGAAGCTAACCGCAAGATCTACAACGACCATGGCATTTAGCACCCACAAATGATCACATTGACCAGATCAATGACTTCATCCTTCGTAAACTGCCAGGAAATGTTCACGAACAACTTAGTTCAGACACGATATCAAGGACGACGAAAACATGCCAGATGTTGTTTCTGTCGAATACCTAAATAGCATCAATGTCCCCGGCACGCCACCGCACAAACTCAACCTCAACGTTGGAGCATTGATCTTCTTCATCAGGAACATTGAGTTTGATTGTGGTCTCGTCAATGGCAAACGGGGAGCTATTCGAGGGATTTCAAGACGCGTTATCGACGTTGAAGTTCTATCCGATTCATCTCGCATCGTTCAAATACCACACATCAGGTGGACGTCAAAGTGGGAGCGCGCAGTATCACCTTGCACCGTTACCAATTACCTGTCAGATTGTGTTACGCTATGACCATCAACAAGTCTCAAGAACAAACTTTAACAATAGTCTGCCTCGACCTCAGATGTTCGGTCTTCTGCCACGGTCAGTTGTACGTTGCCGTTAGCCGTACAATCTGCAGGGACAATATCCTATGCCTCGTTGAACATGGATCATCTCGTCAACGACACCCCCGACGTACACAACGTCGTCTCCTCTGTGTTCATTGTTGCAGCCACTGGTCAACCTCCCCCTACTTTTGACATTCAACTACCTCGTCACCATGGCCAAGGTGAAGGATGCAACAATGGCGACAGCACATTACCCAATGATGGCGACAGCGGTGGTGCAGACAACAACAACGGCAATAACATCAACAATGGGAACAACCAAGGATGTTGGCAAACTGTCAATGAAATCGGTCATGGAGCATGCCTACTATTGATGATGATTGCCCGTCGAGTTTTCAACGACCCCGACATGCACCAACTGGTCAAAACGCAACTCATCGACCACATCAATGACAACCTCCATAACCCCCTACCAGGTTCTGGACAAAACACTTTTTACGACTCCATCTCTGCTGGAATCAATTCAGAGAACATTCAAACAGCTGGTTAACCTGAACATTCCTACCAAAGTGTCCCGGAAAACCTCCATCTCATGTCTGATCCAACTGCTTATGCTCCCCATGTCGAGATTGCAGCTGCCCAACAGTTGTACAGCATTATCGTAAGAATTATCCTTGTCGGCCAACCCTTTCCACCTCCTCCGTCCCATGACACATGCGATGTTTTGTACGGGGGCGAGCACCACCTAGCATTACGATATCGTCCATGACATACAGCTCTTTGAGCAATGCGCATGAGGTCTTGCGTCACCCCCGGGGGGGCTGACACCCACGTCCCGAAGGGGAACCTTGTTGCGTTTGAAATTGTGGAGGAGCTGATTGGTTCGATCGATAGGAGTGAAGTAATCATTGGCACGCGCCTACACCTGACGCCCCCGGTGATTCGTGTTTGGCACACACCCCCACAGTCGCTTCTCTCCACCCCTCCAGCAGATTGACACAAGTTCGTGAAAATATGGCTAGACCGATGTTTTGGCACAAACAATATCGAAAACCAAGTGCAGTGTCAAGGACTAGCCTCCACAATGTGACACAAGGGTCGCTTGCCCCCACCGTTCGATCGCCAGCTGAACCACATTCAGATCATACTGCCATTGTGCGATATTACACGTGTGCTCGCGTTGATCTGAAGCCAAAAAGTACTCCTGGTAGGTATTGTCCTCGCCAGCCTGGCCACCCCCCACACCCACACCATATTGATGTGAGAAGGGCTCGGAACTGTGTAGGGTGCGGGGCATACGTCCTGTTCAAAACGAAGGTGAACACGAAACAGAACATGCCGTTCTGTAGGACAGATGTAGGCTCTTTCCTTCTCTCCACGGGCACCTGCTGTGCCGGGGAACTCTCTGTGGGGTTTACCATCGATCAGACAAGCGTTCCGCCTAAGCCCAGATGTTTGGGTGTGGAGACGATTTTTCAAGATGGACAGGCCTACGATGATTTACTGTGCGTAGGTAGTACACTTGTGCACTTACTCGCCCGAGAGGATATTGCATAGGCTGAGTTGAGGTCAGATCAAGACTGCTGATCAAGCCAAGACCATGTGTCAGGGCCAAACACAACGCAGATGGGGTCGACTCAGACTATGAAAGGAACAAAGACATCGACACGATTGGGATACTAGGCGAAATCAAGAAAATAACGAATTATGTCTTGCATTCCCTTGTACTAGTGACGCCCAGAACGATGGGACGACATAACACACGCACACTACACGAACCGCCGGGGGAGCCCGATGACTCGAAGGCGTGTCCGCGTTTTCTCCAAACATAAAGGCTGACGTTTGCTATTTCATTTGATCACCCACTTATCTCGGTCGATGCCACAATAAACACACACACCGACGCTTGTTTCATGGGGTCCTCCGCACAAGCTTCTTCCATTTTCCACTGGACCTGGTCTGCAGATCACCTATCCGGCTACACCACCAACTTCGTCGCCGCTAGGATAACAGCCCGTCGCCTCTTAGTTCTTGTGCCACGATGGTCATTAACCTGTACTCCTAGGAGAACCAATGCGTTCCATGACCCCCGTCGTTTCGCTGTCCTGTCGAGAGGAGTATTTTTGCTTGAGAAGTTCGCGGGATCGGCGAGCGCGTGCAGAGTCATCTACAGGCTCCATGCGGTGCTATAATCTCTCTGGCCTCGTACTGTACTGGAATTGGCCGTGGTCAGAGTTCTGTCCCTCCGGGCGTTTTCCCTCCGACACCAGTCGTTGATGCAGTCACTTGTATTCCTGCATGGTGACAGTGTCCGTCACCAACAGAATCTACTGTGAACAGTCGCTTCCACACTTTGACTGCCGGGTTTCCCAAGAGATTCGGCGTATGGCATTTTTACACCAACGTCGTGAACGCTGCGATATCTGATGACTCACTGGCGGAGCTTGCTGGTAGCGACCGTTGCGTGTGTCCCACGTCATGCATGTGATTGCCAGATTCTCCATTGCCTCCGCCTTAAGCAGCCCCACTTTTTCGCCTCAATTACGACCTTGGTCGGTCGAGGAGATGTGTGGTTGACCTGTTGCTGAGACATCTCCTTGCGACCCTTGGCATGGCGTTTCATCCGTCTGCTGAAAAAAGTGCGTTGTCGGTGGCAAGCCCGTTCAGGTGCACGGTTCAGCCGACTCATATGTATCTGTAGCCCTCTGCCGCGACCTCCGGCCCTGTCAGAGATGGTGCTGGTGTCACCCCCGTCCTCTGGACTTACCCAGGTGTCCGCACCACGAAAGTCTCCGACTTCTTATCCGACCCCATCAAGCCAGGCTACACCTTTGATTTAGTTTCTGATCCTTGTAAGACTGGAACGCTGTTGGCGCAACACGCAACATTTTCTGCTTTTTTACTGCCGTTTGGTTAGTTCAGCATACGTGGCGTGGTACGTCATGTTCAGTCCTGCCTTGTTTGTTGCGACCCATTCGCCGAACTGAGCGCACCAATCTGTCGAACTGCAGTTGGAAAGTCAATCACGCGTCAATCTGTCCCCCTCCTGTTTTGCTACCTCCCGCCTGTGCGAAACTCGTGATTGTCTGTCAGTTCCACAATGGAATCATCCAAGCGCCAACGCAAGGTCTCCATGCTAGGAACAAATATACAACGGGGCGGCAGTGAAGCGGCAGCAGCGCACGAGAAGCCGGCAAGTTTCGTGAAACGTTCGATTTGCTCGCGTTTCAATCTGAAGAAATCATTGTTTCGCGCTTGGCCATGCACGCGTTTCTTGGGTTTTTCAGTCATATCACTCCCACGTTGTCAACTTTCTCGACACAAGTGATGATTGTTTTTTTTGTGGTGGTGGGGTAGGTTTGGGAAGGTGGACTGAGCGCACATCTGGGGAAATCGAGTACCGAGGAACGTGGTATCCAGTATTGACATATGTACAACGGTGCTGAGGGGGAATGGAATAACCCGCGCTAGCAACTCTGGCACGTCTATACCGGTGCATGTTGAAGTTGTTTCCTTGGGTCCACCTCCCCTGTGTTATAGTGAAGGGTTTAGCTTTGAATGTGTCTGAGTACAGGCATGGGGAATACATCCAGACCGTGTTGAACGTATTGACTGTTCGCCGAGAATTCACCAATACACAATCGAGGCCAGCAACAGAGTATTGACCCATCCCTGTTTCATTCAAGGAGCTTGTTTCGTATGGTGAGTGTCCACCATGACACCACACGGTGGCCCATCCAAGGCTCACGTTAAAACGCTGCACGTCATGCGCTCGGGACCGCAAAGCAACTCCACGTCTCGTTCCGTACAGCTTCGCGGTTTCTTTCAATTGCATCCAAGAGTGGTGCAGCGAAGGGTAACAGGGTGTATTCCAAGTGAAATTGACGGAACGTAGTTGAAGCGAGTGAAATGATCCACCCACATCTCGAAACAAGCCCGACTTCCAGGCGGATTTATTATCATCGGACGTGCGTCGGAAGCAAAGTTATACTTTGTGGCGGACGGAAAACGCGCGTGAATCGCCGACCACTTAACACACAGAAAGTGTCTGAAGAGTTAACTACGGCCGGTCAGAGTGTCTCGCTACCCTTCTCGCATCAGAGGCGATCATTGAGCTACGTACAGCATGACAAGTGAAGAGCGTTGACTCGACCAAGAGCCCCCCTATGCATGGCATTGGCGTTCGAGCACCGACGGCTGATTCTACCTTGGGCGAAAATGTGCAGGACTGCACCACTCGTCTGAACAATCTAGAAGTGAGGCAGAGACCACGCTCGCAACGTGATGTATTGGTTTGTCCTCACTACTATCACGCAATTTTGCTCGGGTATTTGCAGAGAATAGCAGCGATTTTTTCTGGAACTGGGCTTCTCCCTCATGTTTTGAACCTCGTACTTTTCTGCAGTCAACGCACACAACCGCCAGACGTCATGGACAGGGAAAACGGTTATGCCAGGAGGCCTACTGCGAAGCACGGGCATATTACGGAAACCCCCAGGGCAGAGTGCTAGAGTTTTGCTCAGAGCATTCCAAGCCAGGCATGGTCAATCTCATCCGCAAGAGGTGCGGCCACCCAGGGTGCATCAAATTGCCGTCATATGGTACAGCCGGCAGCAAAACGCGGGAGTTCTGCTCAAGGCACTCGAAGCAGGGCATGGTTGATGTCGCCAGCAGGAGGTGCGGCCACCCAGGTTGCATCAAGCAGCCATCGTATGGGACAGCTGGCAGCAAGAAGGCCGAGTTCTGCGTGAACCACTCCAAGCCAGGAATGGTCGATGTGGCCAGCAAGAGGTGCGGCCATCCAGGGTGCATCACGAGTCCGTCATATGGTACGGCCGGCAGCAAAACGCGTGAATTCTGCTCAAGGCACTCGAAGCAGGGCATGGTTGATGTCGCCAGCAAGAGGTGCGGCCACCCAGGTTGCATCAAGCATCCGTCACACGGTGCAGCCGGTGGCAGAACGCGTGAATTCTGCTCAACGCACGCGAAGCCAGGAATGGTCCATTTATTCTATGTCAAGAGGCAAGGTTAAGGTCCTCTTGCCATGGACGGTCGGTCATGCCGATCTTCAATGGCCGTTGGGAATGCAGGAATCACGATTTGTAGCGGCGCAAGCGTCCCACACTGGTCTTTTCTTTTCGCTGTGATTTTTCATTACACCGTGTAGACAATTGTGCAGGAGATGCGTCCAGGTAGCGAAGCAACCCACACGCACGTGCACACAGCTTCGCCCGCCATTTTCGTATTCGTTGACTTGCGAACGAGATACGGGGAACAGAGGGCAACTCAAGGTGCCCCACATGCAATATGCGAAGCACTGCTGAGATACCCTAGCACTGCGGTGAAACTTCCGCCGTGTCGAGAACTTGGTGACACCAGAACATGTTAGCATGAGGATGACGCGCCGACAGAAAAGGAGGATGCGTGACGGAAATAAGGGGTGGTACTATCGCTATCTGGAGTGGTGGAGTGCTGGAGGGCTGAGGTACCCCGACAAGGCGTCTAGAGGTTAATAAGAGGTTCCCAAGAATTATGTCCCCCGAGTTGTGTTTCTGTTTTTCTGCTTTGCAGGGATTCCTTGAGAGCATGGTCTCCGGCTTCCCTATCACGGGGGCCATGGGTCATGTGGTGGGTGGATGACAATACCAAAGTGTGTCGAATCAGGGGTGTGATACCTTTGATCGCGGAAATGTTGGTATCGAACTTGCACGATAGGTGGCTTTGTGAGGGTATGGCATGGTACTGCCGTTCACTACACAGTCTACAGCACCGTACCCCAACACGTTCCACACTGCCTACCCACGTCTCTTTATCGGTTCCCAACAGAGAAACAGCTTTTTCGGTGCACCATATTTCTGTGTATACGGTAGTTCACTTTGGAGCAGGGTATTCGTAAGGAGTGAGGACGCTTCGCGGCGTACCGCTTCGCGGTCGCCGCTACTCTAGAAGGTTGTATGGCGATGGCAAGTGTGTGCGGGTTGAGTTTTGAAATGAGAGGAACGAAGAATGGTGTTGTCGTAAAAAGAACGAAGGAGTGTTGTGAACAGGAAAAGTTGTTTGTCCTCATCCTTGGAAGCACACAACAGGAAAACATGTTGTTTGTTCTCACTAATTGTTCGAGAGCGGAGACGCACAATGAATAATTTAAGGGTGATGCGGCTGCCGAAGGACAAGAGTATTTAATCATGAAATTAGATTCTAGAAACAAAAGGGTCGCTTCTCTCTCCCTTTCGCCCTTTCCCATGCGTAGTGTGTGTGCTATCACCCCTCCCGTAGCGAGACGTTGCAGACAGGCGAATAAATAATGGGTTTGGGTGTGGTCTTGGAATTATGTACAGCCGTCGGTGGTGGCAACCAGGGTTTGTCGAGTACCACGGGAGGCGAGCAAAGCAGCAACGCAAAATAAATCATTTTAGATATTTAGCACGTTTCGAATGAAAAAAACAAAGAAAGCAAGCAGAGAATATCAAAAATATTATTAGTTGCCGATCTAGGAAAATAAGGCAAAACCCCACAGCACAGTGCCGGCCCGCTCGTCAAAATCATCAATTTCAGCTGAGGCTCAAGCCTTATTGCCGCAGCCATAGTGACCCACCCTACTTGCTGCGATAGAAAAAAGGTCCCCCGCCCGTTATTTGGGCGCGGATGCCGTTTCGTGTCTCCTGCAACCTTGAATCTTCTGTTTCTTGTGTCTAGGACGTCCGAAATATGGTGCTGTTGCCTACATGTTCATATATTTTCACTCGTCAAATCATCTCAATATTTTTCGATTGTTTTCGTCATTTCTCATAATTCTGAGCCTCGATTCCTGACGAAGGTGTTTCTAACGGGCGGGCCGGCACTGCAGCATGGCGTTCACATGGTTTTCAATGCGCTCATGGAGCTCTGACATCGATTTTGAAAGAATCCCTGCTCTAAACGACCTTTGAGAATTTGGCTACGATATAGAGAATTTGCCACGATTCCAAACCCAGTTCTCTACCACGCGGGTGCTATATCCACACCTCTGTATGTGCGAACATGCGTTTGTCGTTTTCTGCTGAAACGGAGGAATTCAATATATACGGAGCACCTCTTGACGCATCATGCCTTTTTTTCTTTCTCGGGTGGGTGTGGTATTGCAGACAGTAGCTGTGCGCGCGACACCGGCCGCTAACCCGTCCGCCTTTCGTCAGGATCGAAAGGGAGACGCACTAGAGCAGTAAAATGCTTTGTCTCATGTCCTGCGGAGACTTGGTTGCTTGGTTGTCGCGTGTGGCGAGGGTGTGCAGCCAGCGCACACACACGTACCAGGGCCATCGCCGAATGCATGATGATCATCCTCCACTGTCAAGAATTCGGGGTGTGATTGGTGGAGTCATGGAAGATACCGGAGACGCGACATTTTGCCCTCGATAGCGCTTGGCGACGGCCGCCGCAAGAGCGAGCCGCGCACGGGCGAGACCCTCGCGGCCCAGGGCTACCGGCAGGGGCGACTCCCTCGGCGAACGGAGGTGTAGGGCGGAGAAATCGCGAAGATGGGCTGTAGGCTTATAAGAGAGTCAGAATCAGAAATGCTGCAATCTCGTGAGCCCTCAGCCGTAGGAAATCCGTCTATATACTGTAGGTCTAGGCTATTTATTTCCTTGACGTCCCACCTGCTGGCCGCCCTCGGTTAACCTTATTTTGCAGCATTTGACAGGCTTTGCGTTTTGACCCTCACTGCTCTCCTTCGAATACTCTCCAAACGTGATAGCGATCACACGTTATACTTCCTTCCAACTCCATGATTCCTATCTCATACCAATGCTTCGGGCAAACGTCACACGGCGGTAGACAAGGTCAAACTAATCATGGAGGCAATTGTATCTTCGTGTCACACGGGGCGCCCTTTCCCAGGTACGAAGCGGGTCGCGGTCCGGCTGACTGCTCTAGCGCCCCAACTTCCAGTGGAACAGTGAAGACACGCGGATCGCGTTGGTTCAGCTGCCTCCGTCTTTGCCTTTCACGCTAACATCATCGTGTTTTTTGTCGCGGATGAGAGTCCCCGCCATATCATTCATTCGCTGCCGCCGTGATTCCCTCTCTCCATCTCCCATCCGCTTTACCGTACACCATTGAGTTGATATCTCCGGCTCTCCTTCTTTGCGTTTTGTGTTGCCTGCTTGTTCACTCGGTCTCGTGTGGATGGCATGCCAGCACTCGAGAACGTTTCTTGCATAACTACGAAAGTAATGACGCCACGCGCACGTGCGTCCACGTGCATGCTGCAAAGTCCTCAACAGTACATTGTCCAAAAGTCTTCCTGGCTCATAACGGCAGTACGACCAACTCGTAAACCCTGCAGCGTGTAGTAACAGATTCTACTTTCGCAGAGGCTGCCGTCGAGTTTTGTTATGTTCTTTGGTCGTTGTTTTGGCCGAGGGGCCCACGTGCTTTTTGCCCCCAATCGATACGCGCCCTTGTCAGGGGATTCGAATGTAGGAAAGAACCAACGGTAGTGCGGGCTAAATGCCTAGCGGAAAGTGCGGGAGAGGAAACTCCCGATTGAAGGATAAAGCAGGGGACAGGACCCTAATAGCCCCCATCGGAGGCAGCTGATCTGCCCCCGCATGCATTCCTATCCATATGTGATTCAGCGAGGGAGTCTTCACCAGGGTCTTCGAGTGCTACGCGTGTCTGTACCATCGCACCCTACATGAAGTTGACTACTGTGATGCGCAAATGCGTCCTTCGTCTTCAGGCGCCGAGATGAACGGCTTTGGACGCGTATGCATATGTAGTGTCGAGGAGAGCAAGTGAGAGTTGGGGAGAGAACCAGTTTCGAGGGGTTGCGAAATTAGGTCAAATCGCGTCCATGATGGAGCACAGCAGTTCTGACGTGCCCACTCAGGGATCGTTGGGATGGCACGGCCCCTTGAGCATGCAGCAATACGTTTAGAATGATCATGATGCTGCACAGGGGTGAACCTTTCGCTCCAACCGAAGTCGGTCGCTCTCTCACCGAATCCACTTGAGAGAGGATGAAACTGATTGTCCGAGGTCCCAGCCCCCAACACCCGAGAAATGAGAGGAGGCCTGTCACCCAGCGCTCGCTCTCGCCGCTCTCGGCCCCTCGCTCACTTCCGCACAGCCCAGGCGAAGAGGGTAAAGTTGCCAGGCAGCTCATACACTGACAGTTGCAACCGTGAAAGGGAACATTTGCACTTGCATGGTTTGATTTGACATGCGCGGTGTTATACGGTAAGTGCATGATCAGCCCTATTCACTTCTCCCTACTCCCCTTGCGCGTCTGATACAAGAGATAAAACGTCTTCCCCTTCCAAGTAAAGAACATATACGAACACACTAGTGTCAGTCCCTCGAGGGAGAGTCCATTAGGAATGTCAGGTCGCAAAGATGGGGGTGACTCCTCCAGCGACTCTGCGGCGGGAGACAGAAAGAGGTCAAGAGAAGAGCTCGTGGCCCTGAGGACGCAAGTTAGCTCGCTGACGGATCAGATGAGCCAGCTTATGTCGCTAGTGGGAGATACCATGAAGGCAGGCAATTGCGAAGGGCGCAGAGCAAGCGTACTTCACCGACGGTGAGGGCCGCGGGGAGTGGTACTCAAGTAGGGGTCAGGGGCAAGGTTGTGGTCGTGGCGGCGGCCGTGGCCGCAGCAGCAGTCGTGGCCGCGGCGGCGGCGGTCGCGGCGGCCGCTCAGGCGGATCCGGAGGAGTCGAGGAGAGCAAGGGAAGCAGCAGTGGAGGCGCCGATGGCGGCAGTGGCGGGGACTTTAAGTTCCCGCGCCGGTGCTTCAGGTGTGGACATCGTGCACATCAAGCGATCGGCTGCACTACCAACGAGAAGGACTTCGTGCCGTGGTGTGCGCGCTGCGAGGGGTGGGGCCACACCAAAGAAAAGTGCGCGATGGAGGAGGCCGTCCTAGCGCAAGTGGTGGAGCATGAGAGCGACGTGGACTCCGTGGAAGACCAGGCGTTTTGTGCTGTGGCAGTCCCCCCAGGCAAGTGTGGTAACTTTGGTGAAGTAGGTCTAGTGGGGGTTGTGGAACAAGGCCAGGCGGTGTACGTGGCCGACACAGCGGCCACGTGCTCCATATTCCGATGTGCAGACAACTTCGTGAACTACGGTGAGCGTTGCGGTTGGGTGAAGGGGATCGGAGGCGAGAAGGTCCCCGTTCCTCTTCTATGATACGGAGATGTGACCGTAGTCCTACAGACGGAAGATGGTGGAGTACCCGTACCAGTACTAAATGCTGCCCATGTACCCGAGGCCCCCCACAACCTCCTCTCGCTGTCTTCGTTGGCGGAGGAGGGCCACACGTATTCGCGGATGAAGGGGGGGCTCACGCTGACCACGAAAGCCGGGGGGGAGGTGTGGTTCCCCCGGACTGGAAAGCTGCTGACCCAACGAGGCCATCAAATNAACGCTACACACCGCCTGTGCCGCACTCATTGTTCCTGGCGATGCGAAAGCAGCCAACCCCACTGACCTCAACGAGTACTACCTCGCGCACAGCCATGCCCACGAGACATTGCTCAGGGTCATGGTGGAANACGGAAGATGGTGGAGTACCCGTACCAGTACTAAATGCTGCCCATGTACCCGAGGCCCCCCACAACCTCCTCTCGCTGTCTTCGTTGGCGGAGGAGGGCCACACGTATTCGCGGATGAAGGGGGGGCTCACGCTGACCACGAAAGCCGGGGGGGAGGTGTGGTTCCCCCGGACTGGAAAGCTGCTGACCCAACGAGGCCATCAAATAAAGCCAACGCTGCACACNTCGCGCACGGCCATGCCCACGAGACATTGCTCAGGATCACGGCGGAGCAGCAGGGAGTGCAGCTGACGCATGGACCGCTGCTACCCTGTCTTGGCTGTTCGATGTCCAAGGCACAGGTGAAACCCGTCCAGAAGAGCACGAGCACACGCGCAGTTAAGAACNGTGCCGGGGATATGCCGGGGCCCGGAGAAACACCGGACCCGGAAGAGGAATTGCTGGCGACCATCCTTGAAACTGGCGGGACGGGGATTGTTGAGGACTGCATCTTCAACTCGCTTGTGAAGGAGCAGTGGGACGAGGAGCAGACACGCCGTATGGAGGAGATGTACAGGCGCGAGATGCAGGAGAACAGCAGGCGTTCGGGGCCGAGGTCGACGCCAGCGGGTCTTCGCAACCACTCCCAGACCCACAGCTAAGTTTGACCTCGCCAATCGGGCAGAAGCCGAGTGATGTGGAAGCAGTACCGATGACGTACAAGGATGTGATGTGTTCCAAGTACAAGGTTTTCTGGGAGGCGGCCATGAAGAAAGAGATAGATGGCCACGGCAAGACTGGAACCTTTACCAAGGTCAAGGAGCCGCCCGGGGGGCGGAAGGCCATAGGTTCGAAGTGGGTGTTCTCTTGGAAGACGAATGAGAAGGGCCTGATAGTCGACTTCAAGGCCCGTATGGTTGCGTGGGGTTTCTCTCAAATCCCCGGCTTCGACTTCCACCACTCATCCTCAGCGTGCCCGTCTGCAGCGTCTATCAAGGCGGTGATTGCCGTAGCAACTGAAGGGGGCAAGAAACTCGCTCACTTGGATGTGAAGCAAGCGTACACCCACGCTAAGCTAAAAGAAGAAATATATCTCAGTTTCCCGGAAGGCTGTGGTAGCATGTCCGGCAAAGTGGTCAAGACTGAGCGTGCCCTGTATGGCCTAAAGCAGAGTGGCCGTGAGTGGGGGTTTGAAGCTGCCGATGCCCTCATCAAGCTGCCGATGCCCTCATCGAGAATGGACACGAGCAGTGCAGGGTTGACCGTGTGTCTTCCGGAAGGTGGTGGGTGGAGAGGTCGTAGGTCTCATCGTGATCTACGTTGATGACATCTTAGTGGCGGCAGACGAGGAGAGCGAGAGGAGTTGTTCGCTTCCCTCAATAAGAAGTTTCCGGTGAAAGATCTGGGGGAGTGTACCTGGTACGACGGGTGTGCTATCGCCATGGATGTAGAAAATGGCATCACCAAGCTGTCCCAGACAGCAATACATTGAGAGTATGCTGAAGCGGTTTGATGTGACCACGACCGCTTTCACCCCTGCTGCCACCGATGCCGACCTAGGGCCGAAGCGAGATGACGAGCCCGCGGTGGATAAGCCTGTGAGGGAGGCGATCGGATGCCTGATGTGGACGAAGCTGACGAGGCCAGACATCGCCCTGCCTCTGAACAAGCTCCAGAAGATCGCCCACTCACCCACCGGGAGGATATGGAACGCGCTTGTGCGGATCATGTCCTACCTGAACTTCACGAAAGACTTCGGCATCACCTACGTACGGGGGTCAGGACTAGACCTAAGCGTGTTTGTCGATGCCAGCTACGCTGACAACGAAGTAGACAGGCGTTCTACGACCGGGCTAGCTGTGACCGTAGGTGGTACCGTAGTGTGTGCATCCACCAAGACGCAGCCAGTGACGGCTCAGTCGACCTCGGAAGCAGAGCATATGGCAGCCGGGGAGGGCGTGAAGGAGGCGTTGTTTGTGCGTGGCGTTCTGTCGTTCATAGCGCCCGAGACGAGTGGGGCGAAGATCATGGTCCTTGAGGACAACAAGGGGGTTCTCGCCTTAATCGAGAACCCGTTCAGCTCAGCGAGGAGCAAGCACATCGACGTGCGGTTCCATTTCATTCGCGAGCTATTCAAGCCGGGTAAGATCACTGCAGAGTATGTTCCGACTGGAGAGCAGCACGCCGACATGCTGACCAAAGTCCTTGGCAGAGAGAAGTTAGAGTACCACCGGAAGGCTCTGATGAACCTACCGATGTAGTGTTATCTTGTTCTGTTTGGTTTATGTGGTGGTTTTAGCACTTGGCGTATAAGGCCATGGCACGTCTTCTCACCCGCGCACGGGAACAAAGTATCATCAGCTTTCCAACTCCTTCGCCGTCTTCATATTTAGTTCCCTTTTCACCGTCGTTGAGTCCTCTCGCTTGCGACTCGGCCCCCCCCCGCGCCCACTTGGGGAGCGCGGGCCGTTCAGCACCCTTGTACATAGCTTAATCCACGAACTTCCGATGTAACTGCTTGTTTGCGTAGCGACATCGTGGAGGTGTTCACTAGGTGTCCAGGTTACAAAACAAATAACCACAACACCATCTTACGGTTCCATTGGTTCCTTCCGTGTGAAGAAAATTGGTGACAAAATATGCGGGGGTCCGCTGAGTAAGCGGCTTGCGTACAGCACACCGGCTGAGAGAAGTCGTGCCTGAATGTTGGGTATGGTGTTCGTCGAAGCACGTGGACGAATGCAAAATGTAGCTGGTGGAGGTATTTTGCGTTAGAGCGGAAAGGCGAGGCACGGCGTATTGCGAGATGACCACGGTCGGTGTCGCTGCTGGTGACAAGTAGCAGGGGAAGGCAAGTTCTCTCCGCTACACAGCAGCATCAGTAGCAGTGCTGCAAACGATGTGTGTGCTTCACGGCCTTCCGCACCCGTTGTATGGCCGGGTTAACGACATTGGGGAAATGGGTAATGACCTCCTGCAGAGGCTATGTAGTCTATACAAGACGCGTTGAGGGTGTTGGTTGCTGTATAAATTGCGGAGACACAACTGTTCGTTGTGCTGCCAGTCCTGTGCTCCTGTTTTCGGTGCTGGTGTGCACACGCGGCTGTCACGCATGTGTTCACGGACTAACCGAACCCCAAACTCCCCAACTCGCCAACGCGCGACCTAACGTCCGAACCCTTACACATGTGGACGTGCTTGAACTAAGTTCGACACTGGTCTACCGTGTGTACACACCGCAATAGATGTGTGTGCTGTATTTCACACAAAGATGTGCAGCGTGCGCTTGGCGTGCGCAAGAAAAAAACAACGAAAAACAAATCTCCACCTACTCTATTTGCAAGTAATGCAACGGAATGAATGCGTGGAGTGGTAGAAGTATAGACTAATTTAGGGTGACGTACCCATTGATGTCTTTTAGGCGCAAGACGTACCACAAGGCACACGCACCCCTCCCTAACCGATGACCGCCAGCAAGTCAAATTTGTTTACCATGAATTTTAGTCGTTGCGAGTCTCGGCTACTTCATCGTCATATACGTCTCAGTCCACATCGGGTTTTCCGGTCCACGCCGTGTGACCCTTGAGGCCGGGTGGAGACAGCATACAGCCGCGAAAGTTGTTGTAGCATGCATCATGAACTCTTCGTGCCCGTAACGGCCAGCTTGTCCATGTGTAGGGATTTGTGTTGTGACCTTGTTTCTAGCACACAACGCGGTGGCCGTGGTTTTTGGACAACGTATACAGGCCACTCCCGAGATGGGTGGCGGAGTGGAGTACGGCGAGGAGGAGGAGGAGGAGGAGGAGGAGAAGGTAGGCTAGCGTCCATGACGGAAGACATTGTTGACGGTCGTCGCACCGAACTACTAGTGATGGGGGGCGCGTTGCGACATCATAGGCAGAACCTGCGTTGAAGGTGGCTGCTCTTGCCGACACACTGATGAACAACTTAATGCTAAGGACGAGCCGGCGCAAATTCATCCCGGTCAAGCCAACACTCCGTCAGTTGCTTGGAATACGTTGCGGGTTCTGTCCGGTAATCACCTTTGCCCATGCCGAATCTCCTTTGCCAAATCTTTGCAATTTAATACCAAACAATTTTCGGTTAGTATCTTCCTTTCGTTGTCAGATGTTTGGAGAGAACTAGTTTGTGCTTGACGTTGGAAATGGGGAGCAAGTTTTGGCAGGCCCAGGGTCGTCTTTTTTCTTTAGACTAGTTCTTGCGTTATCACATGACTCATTCGCTGCTGTTGTCGGATTACTCACGGCAGGCAAAACGAGGCAAGCGGGAGCACGGGAATACAGCCGGACTGCCCTGCCGGTACCACGTCCGGGCAGCCGTCAGCCGGTAACCTAATTACGCGGAAAGGTGAGCAGTAGTACGAAAACCTGCCCTTTTCGGGTGCGGGGATCAACAGCAGTGTGTAGGTGTGGTCCTCGTACATTTCAGTTTTTTTTTCGACATTATTTCCAAGACGTGCTGCCCAACACATATGGCCCCGCTTGCTCGCATGTTTTCCCGCAAGCGTCTATTTTTCTTTTTCTGCAGCCTGCGTCACGGCGTAGCTGGTGCAAAGGATCACCCCCTGTGATCCTACATTTTCCCAAGTTCAAATTTGGTGGGGGCAAAACCGTGAGTTTTCCTCAAGCGGCAACAAGTTACCGAGATTTCGGAACACGACAGGAAACAAGCTGTATCACAACTGGCAACACAACGTATCGTCTTTGCTGACAGCGCACATACAACCGTACTACGGTACGCAACCGATGGCTGGCAGAATATCCCCCTATCGGTTACCTCTTGGGTGATGGGTGTGCTTCCTGGTGCTCGCGTTCTTCTGTGTGTAGTCCTATCTCAGCGACAACGGTTGGCCCCCGACTCCCCAATGGGGCGGGCGGCTAGACTCCCGATACAAGACGGGAAAATATTCCTAGAAACCGATTAATATGTACCGCCACGCGCATGGAACAACTGTCGGCGTTGTCATGGCGCATGACCATGGCACAAGGGAAGTACACCAGTACTTCGGGCCAGTTCTTCTCAGATAGTGCGGGATTTGTACGGTGTCATCACCTCCTGCAAGGGCAGGCTGCGGAAATGAGTGTCCGGTTGAACCTGAAATGTTTCATCCTAGCACTCATCTCCCTTACGTGTACACGCATCATGTTTGGAGAATAACTCAAAGCCGGGTGGTGGGTGGTCGTCTTCACCGATCAATTTTCAGTTTGTATTCTCCTCTCGAAGTAGGGTGCAATATTGTCAAGTGAGCGTACCTGGCTCTCCAAAATATGGACTCTTTATCGCACCCTCTGGAAGTGATGTTTTGTGATTTGTAGTGAAAGTTCCTCATGCAGGTGCACAGCAGCAATGGCACGCTGCAGACAACACGTCGCACGGAATCTTTAGGGCGGTCCGAAACCGAATACTGTTGTGTGCACTACAGCAGTACAGCAGTACTTCATAGGGATGTAGCAGGATGTAGGATCTGCTCCTTTTGTTTTGAGGGATTGGCGGTATTGTACAGCAGCAGGAACAATAGTCTACAGACGTGGTTCAATTTGTCGAGAACAGGCGCGATATTGCCAGCATTTCCTTACAGCAGCGCGGCATATTCACATCGGACAGACATTTTACATGTGATCGCGGGTGAAGCGGGGTGCCTGGTACATATATGCACGGCCTGGTACTTGATTAAAGTTTAACGTTGTGGCGAGTCTATTCATTGCAGTATATGCGAGGTGACACAAGTCCACCGCGCTCAGGAGCCAACACGAGTTCTCGCCGCAACGCCAAAAACACACGTGCACCGTCGACAGTTGTGCTAAATATAAATAATGGGTGTAACGACAGTGCGTAGAGCTTTAGTACACGTCGTTGTCTCAGAAACAAACTTCGTCAGACATGTGTTGGCCACAACGCTTAACATTTCGTCGCAACGTATGCTGTCGCAGCGTGTGGCTTGAAAAAAACAATTAGCCCCAATTTCGTGCACTCAAAATATGTTCTTATTTCACGCGACGACGGTATCCCGTCGGAATATTCTTTAACATGATATATATGTGTGCAACGAACCCCGGAGACTAGATATCACTCTAACATTTACCGTCATTTCTGAGAGCTGATGTTTTTTAGATCGATCGTTTTGGAGAAACACAGGTACACGCCCTAAGCCAACGGCCCCGGCTATGTGTTTTCCCCACACACTCCGACATTGTCTTATCTCCCTCCCTCAAGGAAAAGAAAAATGTTGTCGTGGTCATTAAGCTGACCCTATATTTGACGCACTTTTACCAAAACCAAGTTCAAGGAGTGACGAGGAATAGCGTCCACAGTACGACGAGAGACTCATTTACCCCAGATGAGAATGTTGCCATCGCAACTATAATACGCCTAAAAGAGACGTGTTCTCGAACTAGTGTGAAGCCAGCGACATGTTCGTCGTATGTATTTGTCACCGTCGGTCTGG